ACCCAAGGCTAAAATAACTAAAGGAGATAAAATTGTTTGCAGAACAACAAGATCCTCTGAAGAACCCCAACCATCATAGGAACTGGAATAAATTCCTTAGCAATGGTGGGTTCTTCAAGTGGTCTACCATCTTTGGCCTCTATCCCTCTCTCCTTCTATGCTCTGCCACAGACAATCTTGCCATACCGAATTGCATGGCTTCTGGGATAGCCACTTCCCATCTGAAGGGAATGTAGGAGCAAGTCTGATAGCTGGTCTTCTAGGTCTTTCTCTGGAATTCTATCTGTGCCTAAGCCTCTAATTAATTTGACCAGGGTAAGTCACAAGTTCTTCCAAAGACTCTGACAGATCCCTTGTTTCTACCTCATCTAATAAGGTATCGGATAATCCATTGAGGAACCCATCCACAAACGCACTGTTATTCGAGCATATCTCTGCCGCTAGGGAACGAAATTCTAGGGCATAATCAATGAGGGAGCAGTTACCTTGTTTCTCAACAGCAACCTGGCAGTGTTGGCTTTCCTGACTGGTGGATCAAAAGCTCTCCTGAAAGCTGCTATAAATTCAGCATATTCATACACTAAGGGATTATCATTCTCCCATAGTGGATTTGGTCAAACAAGGGCCCTATCTGTAAGCAACATAGTAATGAAGCCTATTTTTGCCCAGTGGGGTAAGCTCTAGGGCAAAGCTCAAACAAGATGCTGATTCAAAATCCTTCTACATTTAGTGATGGGTAGGATTATTGTTACTGCTGTGGGTGGAGGATTCCGCACCAGCAGGCATAGGACTTAGAGACTGGGATTGCCCCTCAGCCAGTCTGGTTATCAGGGTTTGCAAGGCCTGTGCGAATTGATCCATACTGTAATTAAGACAATCAAGCCTTGCGTCATGAGGTCACTTCCTGTGCCTACTGTCCTGTCCTGCGGAGTAACAATGAAGAGCAGCCTGGCAGAGACATCAGGTAAGTTCTTCCCTGCACAGCCTCCTCTCTACCTAGCTCCCTGACAGCGCCCCTCTCAGCACGGATCCCCTCTCCCTTTGCCTCCATGACAGCCCCCTCCCTACACAGATCCCCTCTCCCCCTGCCTCCCTGAAAGCCCTCCTCCCTGCACAGATCACCTCTCCCCTTGCCTCCACTGCACACATCCCCTCTCCCCCCTGCACATATGTACCATACTCACATCTCAATAGACAAAGATTGACAAAAAAAGGGGGCAGGCACACATCGGCCGGCGTCCAGGAGGCTGACTGGAGCCTTATGCAGTGTGGAAGCGGCAGTCCGCCGAATCAGAGCTTGAGCTCATTGGTGGACTGCCAGGGTAAGCACAAGAGGGTTATCATTAATACTGAACAAGTCCAGGATCTTCCCTTCATGAATTTCATGGTAACTTTATGCCACATGGTCTTTGAAAATGGCATACAATTTCTTTATCACAATCTTGTCATATCTATTTACATTGAGTACTACACTTGGGAGCTGCCAAAAATTTTACTTTGACGGTTTTGAAGGAAAAAAAAGTAGTTTTTTCCAAACCAAATTTTGTCCATTTGTACTTTAGTTTTCAGACTAAATTTGTCTATTTTTCTTTTTGGGATTTCATTAAGACAAATGAAATTCTATTCCCTGTCATGGGCCTCTGCTGCATTTAGACCTCCCACCTGCCACCAATTGATGAGGGTTGGGGGAACAATTGCTCCACCATCCATTTTTTTTTATTAAGTGCTCTCACCTACCACCAATGGGTGGGGGTAGGAGGGACACTGTGTCCAAATATTATTATTTTCAATATGAGACTACATCAGTTTAATATCCCCTAATCGCTGGGCATGGCTAGGGGAACCGTGGGGGACACAAAGTTTAGGTGCAGTGACAGTAGGTTTCAATCTACTCCGCTGCTCCTGAAAACACCTCACAGATGCAGTCAAAGGATAGTGTTGCTAAAAGGGAGATAGCATCCATACTGCAGCAATAAAGCATGTGCTACAGTGACAAATAACGTCACGTTAGTGACGCATAGATTTCAACTAAGCTGCTTAAAGGACAACTATAGTGCCAGGAAAACATACTCGGCTCTGGAAGGGGGAAAGGGGTTAAAACTTACCTTTTTTCCAGCTCCGGGTGGGGAGCTCTCCTCCTCCTCTCCTCCTCCTCTCCTCCTCCGATCTGCCCCGTCGGCTGAATACGCACACGCGGCAAGAGCTGCGCGCGCATTTAGCCGGTCACATAGGAAAGCATTCATAATGCTTTCCTATGGACGCTTGCGTGCTCTCACTGTGATTTTTTTTTTGTCAATGAGACAGCCGCTAGAGGCTTTGGGGGAAGGCTTAACTCATTGATAAACATAGCAGTTTCAGAGAATAATATAAAACCATGGGTTAACCCTAGAAGGACCTTGTGGCGGAACCCGCCTCGCCACTGGAGATTGGAGAGGCCTGGCTGCCCGCCTCCTACCCTGGTAAATTTGTACTTTTAATGCGATATTTGGGCATGTGATATTCTATATTGCTGCTACTGGCCCTTTAAGGGCCATCCGGGGACATATTATGACTTTTAGGAACAATACCCCTTTAAGACTTGGTAGCAGATTACAGTAAGGATGTCTTTTATATTATGTATGTTTCTGTGTGTCCGGCTAAATTGTATATGTGTATGCAGCATTCCCTTGATTGTTCGGTAGAATCACTCCATTCATTATATTGAGTGAAACCACCAAGGAAGAAGTGTGCCTCCAATTACCATTTGCAGCAATGTTGCAAACGGGTAATTGGCAATCGATGTAATGTGTTGTTTTGACCTCTGGGTGGCCGCCATTCGTGAAACAAACACGTGGCAGCGGCCATCTTAAACTCCCGAACAGCGGTGTTTGCCGTCGAGTGTCTGGAACTAAAATCGGACACTCAACTAGGCAAACAATGCTGAGACCTCCAGACTTTCATGAATTTGTGTGGAAACAACCAGGGCTCGAGTCCTGCAGGAACGCGTGGGAACGGCGTTCCTGCACTTTTTTCACAGCAGGAACGCCGTTCCCCCTGCAGGCACTCAGGGGGCGGCAAAAAATGCCGCCCCCAAATGCCCCCCCTTGTTTCCCCTGTCATGGGGGGGGGGGGGCAACCTGATGGATTGCCCCCCGGTGAACGGCTCTCTCCCTGTCACACGCGGAGAGGGAGCTGTGTGCTCTCTGCAACCTCTCGCCGCGCGGGATGTCTGCTGATGCCGGGAGCCGGGTTGATGACGTCATATTCCGGCTCCCAGCATCAGCAGACATCCCGCGCGGCGAGAGGGAGCAGAGAGCACACAGCTCCTTCTCCGCGTGTGACAGGGAGAGAGCCGTCCTCACTGCAGCCCCACTGGACCCCAGGGAAAGGTAGGGATGCTGGGTGGGTGGGATATGTTAATTTTTTTATAATATTATTAAGTTGTATATATGTATGTCTGTGTGTGGATGTCTGTTTGTGGATGTATGTATGTCTGTTTGTGGATGTGTGGATGTCTGTTTGTGGATTTGTGGATGTCTGTGGATTTGTGGATGTCTGTTTGTGGATTTGTGGATGTCTGTTTGTGGATTTGTGGATGTGTGGATGTCTGTTTGTGGATTTGTGGATGTCTGTAGATTTGTGGATGTCTGTTTGTGGATTTGTGGATGTCTGTTTGTGGATGTGTGGATGTGGATGTGTGGATGTCTGTTTGTGTATGTGTGGATGTCTGTTTGTGGATGTGTGGATGTCTGTTTGTGGATGTGTGGATGTCTGTGGATGTGTTGATGTCTGTGGATGTGTGTTTGTGGATGTGTGGATGTCTGTTTGTGGATGTGTGGATGTCTGTTTGTGGATGTGTGGATGTCTGTTTGTGGATGTCTGTTTGTGGATGTCTGTGGGTGTGTGGATGTCTGTTTGTGGATGTGTGGATGTCTGTTTGTGGATGTGTGGATGTCTGTGGATGTGTGGATGTCTGTGGATGTGTGTTTGTGGATGTGTGTTGGTGGATGTCTGTTTGTGTATGTGTGGATGTCTGTTTGTGGATGTCTGTTTGTGGATGTGTGGATGTCTGTTTGTGGATGTGTGGATGTCTGTTTGTGGATGTGTGGATGTCTGTGGATGTCTGTTTGTGTATGTGTGGATGTCTGTGGATGTCTGTTTGTGTATGTGTGGATGTCTGTTTGTGGATGTGTGGATGTCTGTTTGTGGATGTGTGGATGTCTGTTTGTGGATGTGTGGATGTCTGTGGATGTGTGTTTGTCGATGTGTGGATGTCTGTTTGTGGATGTGTGGATGTCTGTTTGTGGATGTGTGTTTGTGGATGTGTGTTTGTGGATGTGTGTTTGTGGATGTGTGTGTGTGGATGTGTGGATGTGTGGATGTCTGTTTGTCTCAGTGTGTGTAGGAGTGTATTTATGTCTGTTAGCGTTTGTACGTGTGTATGTGAGTGTATGTGCTTCTGTTAGTGTATGCATGTGTATGTTTGCAATTGCATGTATGTGCATACGTTATTGTAAGTTTCTGTCAAATAAGTGAGAGTCTGTCATTTAGTGTGTGTGTGACTATTAGTGTGTGTCTCTCTGTCAATGAATAAGTGTGTGTCAGTGAATGTGTGTGTCAAATCAGTGACGTCTGTGTGTTTGTCATTGAATGTGTGTGTTACTTATAGTGTGTATCTGCCAGTGTGGGTGTCTGTCAGAGAGTGTGCTTAAAGGGACACTATAGGCACCCAGACTACTTCAGCTCCTTGAAGTGGTCTGGGTGCAGTGTCCCAGTCCCCTTAAACCTTCTCAGAAACTGCAACGATTACCTGAGGGGTAACTCCAAGTCTAGTGGCTGTCTATCAGACAGCCACTAGAGGGACTTTCAGGTGGTTAGGTGACCAAAAGTCACCTAACTGATGCTGGACGTCCTCACCCTGTGCATGAGGACATCCAGCATCTGCTAAATACCCATAGGATTTTAACCCCTCCAGTGTCGAGTGGGGGAGGGGAGGACATGAGAGGAGGGGGGCACTATATGGAATTATAGTGCAAGGAAAACAACTTTGTTTTCCTGGCACTATAGTATTTCTTTAAAAGGAGCAGGGAAAGGTGGAGTCTAAAGAGGAAGGGGTGGGTTCTTAATCAGGAAGTGGTGCACCCTTGACATGAAGGAGTGGTAAATTTAGATTAGGGGGGTGCTCTATAGTCATGTCTAGGGCAGCATAAAATTAAAATACACCACTGTGTGTGTGTGTGTGTATAGATTATATATATATATATATATATATATATTACATATAAACATACATACATATATATATAAACATACATACAAGTGTTTTGGTTTTTTTGGGGGAGAGTTCCCACACTTTTTTCCCCAGGACTTGACCCCTGGAAACAAC